ATTCGCAGAGAATGTATGGAGTGAACAATTATTTCAAGATCTTTTTTTTTTTGAATATTATCAGTTAGACCGCTCTAGCAACTTACTTTTTATATCAATCAAATTAGCCACGCATTGTAACTGTAACAAGAGAAAAAATTCAATCTGCAGTTCCGGATGTTGGTAGTATTGTAAGGTTCTTTAAATAAACTTATCATTTTCGTTTGAAAAAAAAAAAAAAAATTTAAAAGTACTAAATTTCAGATAACCGGTAAAGTCATTCGCATGACAACTAAAGAAGCTGTTGTTTCTATAATGGTTGTTGGTACTATGCCATGCAAAGATGATTTTCAGGGTATCATCCGGTAACGTAATTGAGTTCTTATCGTGAGAATTTCTTAAATCTCATATATTTTTAAGTTCGCAGGATGTTCGCGCTACGGAAAAGGACAAAGTCAAAATTTACAATTCTTTTAGACTTGGCGATATAATTAGGGCCGAAGTTGTATCCTATTAATTTAACATTTTTAAATATTTTAATATTTTTAAATATTTTAATATTTTTAAATATTTTAAGTTGATTGCTTCCCTTGATTCGATATTCCAATTATCAAAGATATCTTTAGGTGATGCTCGATCCTATTATTTGTCCACTGCTAAAAATGAACTTGGTGTTATTTATGCGCAGAGTGTTGCAGGTTTGATTTATTTGTGCATTTGGTTTTCCATTTACAAATCTCGACATTTAATTTCACGTTCCAGGTGCAGTCATGATCCCCATATCGTGGCAGGAAATGCAGTGTACCAAGACTAAAGCAATTGAGCCTCGAAAATGCGCTAAGCCTGACATTCCCTTGCCCGAAAACTGAAAATATTGGATTGAAAATTTGATATTATAAATAATCAGACATATTGCATTAGGAAATTAGAAACTATTAAAGGTCAGAAGGACTGTATTCAGCAATGATACGGTTTAGATCACATGTGTAAACTTTTCGTCATTAGTCACATATTTTGTCACTGGTAAATTTTTTAATATCAATATATTCTAATGATAAACGTATTTAAAAGTTTATGCTAAACTTTGTTTTCTGACCCCTATTTAATGCAAAAAAAAAACCTTAATTTAAAATTTGTAATAGTCCACTGTTTAGCATTGGAGGCCCTTTCTTGTAAAGTTTGAATGGTCGTTGAAAATAAAACTAAAATAATTTAATTCTTGAAGTTCAGTTTTTTTGTGCATGTCGGCGGATTTGCAGAATTGGATCTGCATTCCAAATTTTAGTGACTAAAAAATATACGATTGCCCATTTGATAGTAAGTTTTTTATTACGTATGGTGCCGGAGATCTATAATTAGAGATGGGGCACTATGTAGCATGTGCTTAATCGTCACATATAATAGCTTATGTAAAAATTAACATCCGATGTGATTTTCATACTTTTAATCATGTAACAATTAGCTGCATAGTGTCCCTATCTATAATCGATAATCACGGGGAATGTCTGATCAGAACAAAAACGCGAAATCTATGACAGTGCTTAGCGTTAGGGACATCTCCCCGCATCGCGTTATTGTCACGTGATAGTATCCGTGACGTTAATCAAATCTGATTGGCTATTTCCTTTTTAGGTGCTTGTATTACCGCACAAATAAGTTTAGTGAGATAAAACGATCCAAGCATGCTTGACCAATCAAAATTAGCATACTTAAATTTGTACGAAATTGTACGAAATTTTCTCGATATTACTTGATGAGTTTTTTTTATTTTAATTCTATGAATATGTAGGATTAAAATAAAATAAAATAAAATTTCATCGAATTTTGTCAGATAGTTATCGAGAATGAAATTTTTTTTATTTTATTTCTCCACATTCGTATAATTAAAATAAAAATTTTTATCGAATTCGGTCAGAAAAACTTCGCTCAAAGTTTTAAAAATTCAACAGTACTAAATTACTAAGGCTGATTTTTCGTTTTGCATTAAATGACATTCGAAATTTCGGGTTTTTATCTAAATGAATTTTCATATAACAAAGTCTTTAATTTCTTGAAAAAGCATTTGACTTGTTCAGATGATTTCAAGTTTAACTTTTAAATCAGTTAAATCATAAGGCATTATAAAATTATACTGTATTGAATTTAAACCTATCGGTAACTTACCGAATACTCATTAATATCCACACAAATTTTTATACGTATAACGATAATACGTATCAAAATTATCAACTTTAATATAAACTCTCATTAATATCACTATCAACATGTATATAAAGGTGATTCAAATAGGTTGATACTAACGAGGGTCAACTGTATAATCCGTTATCCATTTTAAAATTTGAAAATTAGTGCGTATTAATAATAAAACCTTCATTCCTTTCAGAAATAATACAAATTCAATTGATAAAAATCGGCCAAAAATGGAAATACTAATAGAATGATTTATCTTTATGTTAGAGATTTCTATCAGTATGAAACTAGAAAAGACATTCCTAGAATAGACCCGGAATTTACATA